GAACCAAGTTGGCACTGAAAGTAGATTAAAGACTCTGGCTCCAAAGTGGATAATATTCTTAGTTTTACATTAAGTAAATTTGCTATTGACAAAGCTCAAGTATGTGATACACTAAGGAGCAGGTAAAACTTAAGTGGTTCTTGCTTTGAGTTAAACTTTTTGTCTGATAGACTCTTTCACATATTCAGTATTCAAATTGAAAGAAGTAAGTAGAGACAAAATTAGTTCTTTGATTAAGAATATTAGAAGCAGAAAAAAAAGAAGAACAACTAAAAAACTCTCTTTAACTTGAACCCTTGTAACAATAATATACTTCCTCTTCATCATTTTTTGTTTTTCTTTTTTCAAAAAGTGGAAATTGGCTTATTCTTATTAAAAGATTGACATTGTGCATCACTTTCTTTTGCAGTTATATGCTTGTTTGAACATGACGAATAAGGAATACAACAAACATATGAGTTAGCCAATTATATAGAACATATTAGAAAAGAATTTAATTTGAAAAGACTAAAAAGATATTAAGATATGCATATATTCTAAGGCCATGTGCATAATATTTTTTAAAAAAATGGTTATAGAGGTTTATGAAGAATTGGATCACTTAAGTGCACTCCAAACCTTGGCACAATACTCCATCTATTTGAAGAATTCTCCTATATAGAAAGTGCCTAGCTCGAACTCTGTCCTACAAATTAATACAGTTTTCATTCTAGTTAAGAGTATCTAGTTTTTAAAGAATAGGCATAGTTTATAAAATGATGAAAACATTATAGTAAGCAACAATCGTAAAATAGAGTTTTATTCTGTTAGCAGGTTTTCTCTTTTATTTTCCTTATAGATTAGTTTTATTTTCTTTTTGTTAGTTTTATTTTTCTCATTATTTTCATTTTTTCCTTTCTCAATTTTAAAATCATTTTTTTTTTTTTTTGTTTTTCTCTTCTCTACTAAAAAATGTCTTCAGATTAGTAATATCCTATTGTAGAATAGGAGTTAGATGAGTTGTAATTTCTAGTTTTAACTAGATTAGTGTAGCAGATCACATTTAGATACTGTTTGGATGGCTGAATGATAGTAGATTTATAAGTTAAATAATATTCTGTATTTACATATGTAGCTACAAATGGTTTAATAAAGTACTACTGTAACTGCTTAAAGAAAAAAAAAATATATATATATATATATATTAAGTTAAATAAAAACAAATTTACAATTAACAAAAATATAGTAACCTAGTAAAGTGGTCAGGTTGTCAACTCTTTAAATAATAGGTTGAGTGTTCAAATTTCATTAACAATGAAAATTTAGATAATCACCTATATAATATTTGTATTATAGCAACTGTTATTAATAATTGAGTTAAGATATCTGTAATAGTAATTACACTAGCATGACTGGACATCTGTACAATATTGGAGTTATATAGAGAAATGCAAACTAACAAATTAGATAGTACAAATACTAGATAAGTTCTTGTAGTCATATAAATCTGTTGAAATTAGATAATAAGAAATCCATTTGAGAAGATTTAAGTAGAGAAGTAGTTAGATCTTTAACAATTCTACTGTAAAGACTAGTTTGGTGAAATAGATACCAAGGTCTAATACCTGGTCATAGTAACTAAATAGGCAAGAATTTTTAGGTTAGAAGTCTTAGAAGTACTATTAATCAACTTACTAAAATAAACCAAAAGAAAAGGATATTAAGCTAACCTAATATATCAATAAACTGATCATAATCCTACATAGGTTATTTGATTAGAAGTTTGGTAAAAAGATAGAAGAAAAGGCAAAAGTATATTAAAGTATTAAGATTATGCTATAAAGTAAATGCTAGAGTCTAAGTAAACTTTACAAGAACATAGCAGTTTAATAGTCAAGCCTTGACTGCAAATATTGGTTCTATTATAGTGATATCTAAATTAGCTGTAAAAATGAATACAAAAGACTCTAGAGGTTTTACCTTAAAGATAAATTAGTCCTAAAGTTGAGATAATGATTTAAGCATCTAGGTATATTTTAGTAATTTAATACAGATTACAGGTTTAAAAGGTTTAAATTAAAATATCCAAACAAGGGTGTTAGATATGACAATTAGTAAGAAACCTTTAGGTGAACTTCTTAAATAGTTAATATAGAAAAGTTACATGTGTAGCCAATTGTATATTCTCCTATAATGGTTCATTGAACCACAATACTGATAAGTAATTAATAAAAGATAAAAGACCAAAGAGGTTACTTTAACATCAAAAAAAAAAAAATTACAATAACAATATAAAAAAAAATTATTACATGTTATATTTTTTGTTTTTTAAATTTTTTTAAACAATTCTAAAATTTTTTTATCAAAAATTTTATTGTATCTTGTTATTTTTTTAAAAATACTTTTGTTATTATATTTTAATAAATTATATGTATTTTTAAACAGTAACTTTTTTTTAATAATCTAAATGATATTTGTTAGTTTTTTTTATGCTATTTTTGTATTTGTTTTTTTTCAAAATTAAAATTCAATAAAAAGAATAATTTTTCAATTTTGTAATTTAAATAAATAAAAATAGAAATAGAACTTTTTGTATTTAGTATAATTTATAACTTTTAAAAATCTAATACAAGTTTTATAATATTATATCTATTTGTATTAGTAAAAAGTTAGTATTTATTTTTTTGTTTTTTTTTTGTTTTTTTGTTTACATATGAAAATAGCTAATCTAATAAAAACATAATAACAAGAAATTTTAAATAAAAATTTAGTATTTTGTTTTAAAATAAAAAATTGCTAGCCTAAAATGTTTTACACTGTATTATATAAATTATATATACAGATATTGTAAACAAAAACCGATGAAATATTAACCATAGCTGTCGCAACATTGTTACAGCAGATTTTCGATTTTGATTGGCTAACGGCCGTGAATCTGGCAAATTTTGGTCAGCATTACATAATTGTTTATTAAATTCAGGCCAAAATTTTTTGATCGTCGCTCTTAGCCAATCAAAATCGAGAATCTGCTATTCCATAGGCAGTACATGATTGCTTGATTACATCACAGGATTTATAATTTAAGAATAGACGCATTCTCGTAATAGTAAATACGTGACTAAAAGAAGTCTAAATATATTAATTTGAAAACTTTTAATTTATATCACGCGTCAAATAGATATTAATAGATATAGTGAATGAATGGGCATTTACAAACAAAAACCAAAAGCAAGGCAGTATGAAGGCACATTCCCTCGCAGATAAACATTGTAGTTCTAAAAGGAACAATTTTATTGGTATTTTATTGGTATTTTATTTTATTTTGGATTATTTTTTTTGGTGAAAAACACAATGCAGGCACAATTTACTTTAAAAAACAGAAATGAACAAAGGAGTTGTATGCTTTAAACTCAATTGACCTTAACCGGTTCTTTAATAATTGTGTATATAATCTTGTTCCTTACAATGTTTGATTCTTACAATGTTTGATTGGTTGTTACAATGTTTGATTGGTTGTTATAATATTCGATTGGTTATTTACAATGTTCGATTGGTTGTTAAGCAAGGTAAATTATGCTATCTACTATTGATGCAATCATGAGGGTATTGTCAAGTAGTTTAAGGATAGTTTGTAATCGAATAATTTATATCGATATTATGTCGATATTATGTTGCGATATTATGTTGCGATATTATGTTGCAATATTTATTATGTTGCGATATTAAATGTCACGGATCGTCAAAAGATTTATCCATCCGGGTTACACTACTATTACGTTACCGTTTTCTTTTATTCAATAAAACAATTGCATTTAATAACAACCTATTTTTTTTTTTCCCTGCCCTGACGTTAAAAAAACAAAACGCAATGTGTGTATTATTTTTTAAGGAAAAGAATAATTCATGTGGAAATTACTAGAGGCTTGTTTTCAAAAACTATCCATTTATGCTAATTTTATTATCGAGAATTCTCACGGACAAATCTTTGAAAATCAGTTTTAAAATTCAAATTATCGATATCTCGATCATCTCGATCTGTTTGATACTTTCTAAATTTTTGTAATCCAGTAATCGTGAAAAGATCAGGAGTTATAGCTAAACTTTATTAAGGATGCCCTTGTAAATGGCTTTTTTTTTAATCACACTCCGAAGAAAGGGCATTGATGCATTGAAGCATTATAAGATACTTTTATGGCACAAATCACACAAAAAATCATGTTCCCGTACTAACAAACACTGATTGATGTATCTCACATCATCATAACGAAGTTATTGAAGTACTCCCTTCATGTTAAGGTGAATCATGCGCTGACATTTAAAATGGTAAAAAATAGTAGAAAAAAATCCTCCGATTAGATATGAAGATTCAATTTTAATGACACATAAATTACATTACTTCTACGCTTAATAATGCTACTTATATGTATATGTATAAAATGGTGAGTAGCCGGTTATCGTTATTGTACGTTAAGAGGTTTAGAATTGTAAAGAAATATATATTACTCTGTCTTACCAATTACTGAAAAAATTGAAACTCCACTATCATTTATCAATTTGAATAGATTGATGCGTATTGATAAATATAACTGTATATAGTTCATTTACCTTTTGCTCTAAATCCTTTGAATACGGATTCACTCTTTCCCCTAAACACCTACTTTCACCCCCACCCCAAAAAAAATTAAGAAAACTAATCAATCATCACATTTTTTTTTTCTGACTTGATTGCATGTGCGGCTGTCCATTGTTTGGTAAAGTTGTATAAAGCAATGCTTGATTGATGAAGCTTTGATTCCCCCTCTCCGTTGATGCTTCTCCTTTTGAACCGCAAACTTACTAAACCTTTTTTTTTTTTTTCTCTTTCTCACTGCTAAAAAAAAAACAAAAAAAAATTATTTGCTTAAAATTTTCTTTAAACGCGTTGAAATAGAAAAGACGTATATCTTTTTTAAGAATATCTGAAGGAACGCATATAAGCTTTTAAATTGTAAAGAATCTATTGCTTTTGGAAACGGAAAACAATGTTTTCTACTGACTCGTCTGAGAATTCTAAAGGTATGCTTCTTTAAAATATATATATATGTCTTTATGTATTTTTATATTTTTATATCTTCATATGTATTTGTATACTTGTGATTTCTTCTTTTAATTGTCATTTACATTTAAAAAAAGTTGTCCCTTATCGCGCTACTAACTGCGTGGAAAACAGTAAGAATACTAATGGTCCGCTTTCTTGTCACCATAATATACCCCCTCCGCCTTTATACTCTTCGAATACAACTATGCTATCTTTCAATAATGTCGAACAATCATATACGAGAGTCGTTGGTCAAGTCTATTCTAGAGAAACTGTTACGACAATTTATGGTGATCCGACTTCTTCAAATTGTTGGGTAAGTTGTGCTACCCCTCGGAAATTATTTTTTTCCACTGTGGATGCTACATCAACTTCCATGCTGTGTGCTGTCTCGTGGTTTCTTCTTCTGTACTGTTGTGAAACTGTCAGAGAACTGTCAATTTTCTTCCCTAATTTGACATTAAAGATCTGCAATTCTACTTCATGTTATGTTTAAAAGAATCAACGTCAAGTCGGTTTCTATTGCTACGTATGCCATTCTGTTATAAATCCTCAAGATTTTCATTCCTTGGTTTCTTGCGCTTCGACAAATTGCGATGTTTATGCTCATGGTGGTACGTATTTCTTTTGTTTTTTTATCATTGTCATCCATTATTATTTCTGTTATTATTTTTTTATCATTGTATGCTTATATCCCATATATAACGAATGACGTGTCACATGTTTATGCTTTCTAATATGAATTGGTTTTTTTTTCTTAATATTAGGATGTTTAATGAAAAATGGTTTTCATGATAGGAATAATCCTTGGTATTGTCAAAGATGTATTTCCACAACTCATCAATCATTTTCGGTGAGCGATACTTGTACGAATCATTTCAATTTCCCTTTTTCTTTTGGTTCATTATCTGACCTTTTTTTTATAGTCCCCTGTTCGTTCAATGGAACCGATTTCTTCAAACCCTGTTGAAAATAATCCTTCTCCACCAATAAATCCATTGCATTTACTGTTGGAAGCTTCTGATCAAATAGTATGTAATGTTTCCTTTACATAATTATACTCATAATGCATATATTTTACACTTATTTATTTTATTCATTTTACGTTAGCAATCAAATTCGGGTCCGGATAATAATATCTCAGTTAACACTCCCGTCATTCAGCGGGAATCTACATCAACTCAATACTCTGATGTTAATGACAGCTCTTCTCGTACCGATTTTATGTCCTGTGATCCTGTTCCTGATCAACGTATTTTGAATTATAACATTGGCTTGATGAGTGCTAACAATGGTCATGATGATGCGGAAACTATCCCCGCAAAGTTTAAAGCTCAATATGCTACTTATAATGAAGGTTAATATTTTTTTTTGATAATAATAATAATAATAATAATAACTCTTATTATTGCTATTATTATTATTATTATTATTCTTATTATTGCTATTATTATTGCTATTATTATTATTATTATTATTATTATTATTCTTATTATTATTCTTATTATTATTCTTATTCTTATTATTATTCTTATTATTCTTATTATTATTCTTATAATTATTATTATTCTTATTATTATTCTTATTATTATTATTATTATTATTCTTATTATTATTTTATTATTATTTTTATTAATGTTTTTATTATTTTAATTACTTTTATTAGAACGTAATAATGTCATTCGTAATCTTGAACGTACTCGTATGCGTCAAGATAAAGTATCTGATGCTTTGAATGATTCTTTAACTCGCCTTACTGAGGAATTCAACAAACATCTTAAAAATAACCATATTTTACGTGAAGATAATAACAAACTTAATAATGCTTTACAAAAGCTTAAACTCGCCTTGATTCCTTTAGCCCAAGAAAGGCCTGTTTTGCAAGTGTTACGTAAGATAACTCAGAACGATGATTTACAAAGTCAAGATATAACAATGGATAACGTTTTAAATTTGTTTATGGGCCTTTTACCTATCTCTAATTTGTTCGGTACTTTACCAAATTCTCTCTGTACTTCAAGTTCTTCTTCTCCTTCCCCATTGGATTCTTGTCAAAAGTGCTCAAAGTTTGGCGAAAATTTGATCCGTTGTAATTATTGTCAAAAAGTTCAACATGTTGATTGTTGTAGTAAAGATGAAAAAACTTCCATTGATATTGTGAACGAACGATGGACTTGTGTAGACTGTAAAGATTCTACTACTGTTAAACGAAAGCATTACTCTGATAAAAGATCTAGTTCCAACGGTCCATCTTTAACTTTAATTGGAAATTATAAACGTATCAAGACAAATGATAAAAACTCTTTAAAAGACAATTCTTCTCTATATAATATTACCACTCATAATCTTGATAACGGTGGTGTTTTGTCCCCTCAACTCACTCCACAACAATTAAAATCATCAAATGGTGCTACTCAAAATAATATTGATGATATGATGGAACATTATACAATGCCACATACTCCAATGTCTGATGATGATAAAATTACTAGTGATGATAATGATAGTAGTTTTAGTAGTGATTTAGAAATTGACGATGAAAATCGTAAAGATGATTCAACTCTTGGAACTTTTGATCGAACACCTCCACCTGATAATGGTCCGGAAGCATCCAGACAACCTGCCCGTTTCGATGGTGACATGTAAGTTCTCTAAGTTCTCTTAATATTATAAAAATTTATATATATATATACAAATGAATACATATAATCTATCTATATAATCGCATATACTCGCATATACTCGCATATAATCGATGTCATCGATATAATTGCATATAATCAATGTCATCGATATAATTGCATATAATCAATGTCATCGATATAATTATAATAATTATAACATATAATGTATATATTCATATATATATATTGTATTTATTTAGGTACACTCCACGTTGGGTTCGTGGAGTTGGAAAATCGAAAGAGGGTCTTTGTCCTCATTGTGAACCTGCTCGATGGCTCAAAACAAAGATTTCTGCTTATTGGTATATTAATTTTCTCATTTTTACTTTTATCATTTGTATTTTTTTGTATTTTTTTATTTATTTTTGTATAAAATATTGAATCATCTATATTTAATCATCTATATTTAATCATACATTCATTCATTATTTAATTATTCATACATTTTAGGTATCATTTGAATTATCAACATGGGATCTCTTCAATCACTGGTCGACCATTTGCTCAACCAATTGCTGAACGACTCAATAAGAAGTCAGGTATGAAAGAGGCTTTATGTCATAAATGCAATAAATGGATTTTGAATCAATCACCAAGAGATAAGGATGTATTGGTTCCCGAAATTTACTGGTATGAATCTCAAAACTTTTTCGGAATTTATTTATAAAGTTATTTGTAATTGATTTTGATTATTTTGATTATTTGGTATTAGGTACAAACATGCTCAAAAATGTCATCACACCCCTTAAATATGCACCCGGAATATTTTAATTTTTGGTCAGAGTAATCTATGACCCAATGATGGTCTAATAGTAAAGTGAAAGAAACTTTTCACTACAAATAGTCTGTTTTTTTTCTTCCCATAGCCATTGTTAAAATTGTTTTCGGTTTTCTTTCCGGGTTTCACATTCCTATATTATTTCCGTATTTCCGCATTTCCGCAGTATTGGTTGTTTTTCTTGAAACTACTGTATTATTTGCCAACTAGCATGTAATTTGTCTCTTTTTCTCAATTAAACCCATCTTGACAGCGTAAATTGAACAGTGAAACAAAAAAATAAAGTTGGTTTTATGGAATCTGGTAAAATTACTCCGTAAATATGTACTCGATATATGATAGCATTCCTTACCATATTCAGTCACGGATAAAATAGGCCATTTTCCGTATGAAAACGAAATTTCTAATTTTTCTTGGCATTTTACGTCTTGGGTCATTTTGTGGTACAGACATCGGTAACTTTTAATGCTAAAAAGTTCAATTATACCACAATCAGAAAAGTTTTTGATGATTATTTTTTCACAAATGCAAACTATATAAATGGTTAAAATAGTATTCGCTTTAGAATTTGCAAACATTAAAACAATCCTCCAATTTTTTCTTTGCCAAATTTTATCTTAAAAAAATGGTACGAGGTCAACAAAAAATTAACTTGAAAAATCCTCCTCCGGAGCCATATAAACCATCTCCGGGTTACTTATTAGGAATTAGGCTTTTTGAAGCTTTATCAAGTCTAGCAATCGTAATTACACTTACTATTACCATAATTTATCATAAAATACTATTTAATTATGGTGTTAATTACGATTCAACTAGATTCAGACAAGGGTCTTTAACGTCATCTAATGGCACTGTCATTCAATTAAATGCACAAGATGGTGCTGTGGATTATGATAATTATGATGGGGTCATGCCATGGTTAATTTTTGGATTGGTACTTTCAGTGACAGGTTTTGTAATTTCTGCTGGCTTTATGTTTGACCGTGGGCTTAAACTCGCATTAGTACAAGCATTTACTTCAATTATTTTATGTGCGGGTTTTGTGGTTTATATTGTAATTGGAGCTTTGAACACTCCGTATTTGATAGAATGTACTAAATTAAGTTATCCATCTGATTATGTAGAGTCAAAAGATATTAGTGTTGCAATGAGTGGCAGATGTGCCGCTCCAAAAGCTGCTGAATTTTTTGCTTTTGTTGCAGCTTTTGCTTATTGTTTTAGTGCTTCTGCTGCGTCAAAAGTTTTTCTTGATAGTAAATTTGCCCCAAAAATTGAAACTAGGAATATCGAAGAATCGTAAATTTCTTTTTTATATGTAAAAAATTCTTTTTTGTTTTTTTGTTTTTTTGAGATTGGGAAATATGAAATATTTAAAATATAATGTATTAACTCAGCAATTGTAGTCTTAAGAGAAATTAATAAACTTTAATTTTAAAACTTATCTTAAAGCACGTGACTAATGCGCCGATTTTTTTTCTTGATCCTAAATTTATAATGATTTTCAATAATCTAAATTTTTTTTCCTCCCTCTCTTTTTTGGTAAATAGACAAGAAAACTTGTTTTACCATGGTATGCTTTTTGCCTTGAACTTTCAAGAGCACATTAAAAAAAAAACCCTACAAAGCTGTTTGTAGAAATAATTGCTTGTTTACTTTAAAAAAATTCTTTACCGATCGCCCGGTTACTTTTACTGATCAAAATTTTTGAAAAAAAGCCCTCCCATAAAACATTCAGGATCAAACGTGTCCTTGGAAAGAAACAGAAACAGAACCGTCCTATTCCTCAATGGATCCGTCTTCGTACTGGAAATACGATTAGGTGTGTTTTTAAAAAAATGAATTATGCGTTCTGCAAACACTTGATTAAATAACTCTAAACCATCATTGTTTAAATATCCAGATACAATGCTAAACGTCGTCATTGGCGTCGCACTAAGCTCAACATTTAAACTTCCACAGCTGTAGTTATAAATTTATTGTGATAATCAGTTTATGGTAGCGTTGAGTATCAACCCTCTTTTTACTATATAATTGGGTTTGGAAATCGTAATTTCTACTTCATTTGAGATAATAAACAAAATCTAAATAATGTCCATTCTCAGTCAATAGTATTCAAAACCAATTAAATTTATTAAATCAAAAATCAAATTCCATAAATCATTAAAACTTTTATTTTCAAATTAAGAATTTAAGAGTGACCAAGTAGATAAAATAAATAAAGTGATAGATTATGGTAGATCTAATGAGCCTATGTTGAATACGCACGTAATAAATAAAAAATGATTATATAAAAATAAATTTTTTAACATCCAAAATATAATGCCACACAAATTTAATATCTTGGTTTTCATAACATGATACTTTTGAACAGACCCGGCCGGCTTTTTTTTTAAAAAAACTCATCCGGTTATTAAAACAAAATTTTTTTAAAATTTGATCCGGTCGGTTATGAAATTCAATTAATTAATTTTGTACGGTTTAATCTAAATATTAAACCTTTAGATCTTTTTTTTTTTTGGTATTAAAGTGAGGTTTTGCTTATATCTTTATTAGTAATTTAAAATAGTTGCATATATATACATTACAGTTGAAGTTAGCATTTGCAGTCAGAGTTAATCATTAAACTATTAACTATACAGTTACTACTATTTGTATAATATAAATAAATTGAAAATTATATGTAAGAATAAAAGTTTAGACTAATTTATTTATGACCTAAACCTATTAGAATAATCAAAACTTATTTAGATTTAAATGTTTAATATATAGTTTGATAATAGATCAAATTTTTTTGAAATTAGAAATGTTGATTGATTGTTAATAAATATTGATTTCTTAATCATTGTTAATCAATAAATGAATTATCTGTTACCAGAATTATAAAACTAAATCTTTATTAGATACAAAATTTGAATTAAAATTTAAAAAGATCAATACATTTTTTTTTAAAATTATTTTTTAAAATATAAAATTTTTAAAGTGTTTTTATAAAATATATTTGTTAATTTTTTTAAAAAAATATTGTTTTTTAATTTATATAATTATATTATTATTTTTTTGGTATTAAGATGATCTTTTGGGTTTTTTGATTTTATTAGCACATTTTTTAGGTAATGTAGTTCTGTAAGAAATTATTACAAAAAGAGTATACAATTGGTTACATGTATAGCTTTTCTATATTACCTATCTAAAAAGTCTTCAAAGGTTTTTACCAATTACTATACTTAATACCTCTGTTCAGATATTTTTTTTTTTTTTTTTTTATAAGCAGTTACATTAGTGCTTTATTAAGATTTTTGAAACTACTACTGTAATTATATAAATTTACCTAACAACTAAGCCTAGCATCATTCGGCTACCCTAATAGCACCTAAGTGCAACATGCCTGTTCAGATATTCTATTTTAAACCTCTTGAATTTGTCTTATATTAACTTTACTAGATTATGCCTAGAGTTTCATTTCAAATTCAGAACAAATTTATTCTTGAAGTAAATTTTTTAAAGCCTGCTAATATTTATTTTATAGCTAATTTGATATTGTTATAGTTGAACTAACACTTGCAGTCAGAATTAGTTATTAAACTGCTATGTTCTTGTAGAGTTTACTCAAACCTCAGCATTTACTTTATAATATATCTTTAGTATTTTTAGTATATTTCTGTTTTTTTTTCAGACTTCTAATTTAGATAGTTTGTTAAAACTAATAACTAGTCATCAGCAGAATAAATATGCGAAATATTGCGAAAGATTTTGCATACCAAAAATCTTTCGAAATAACTACGATTAACATAAAATTTTTGAAATAAAATAATTTGCAATATTGTGAAAGTAATAAAATAATTTCAAAAAAATTTTAGTTATTTTGCAAAATTTTAAAAAATAATAAAAATAAAATATTAAAACATAATTCAAAAATAATTAAAAATATTTAGAATAATTTAAAATATTTTGAAAAGATTAAAATAATTTAGAAATATTTTGAAATATTCAAAAGGTTTTCGAAATAATTTCGAAATATTTCAAAAATTACGAAATAATTTTTATTGATAAATTTTTTTTATTTTATTTGAAATTTTGCTATTTACATATTTTAATATATTTAATTGATTTTTTTATTTAATCAACATCAACTTTATTTATTATATATCAAATACAAATAAAAAATAAAAAAAGATAAAAAAAAAAAAAATATCTATATAAATATTTACAAATTTGTAAAAAATTTTAAAGTAATTCAAAAAATATTAGATATCTGTAAAATAACTAAAAATGTATTAGTAAATAAAACAAAATCATATAATCAACTCTTTCTGATGATCATCTGAACCAAGTTGGTACTGAAAATAGATTGAAGATTCTGGCTCCAAAGTGGATAATATTCTTAGTTTTATATTAAGTAAACTTGCTGTCAACAAACCTCAAGTACATAATATACTAAAGAGCAAGCAAAACTTGAGTGGTTCTTGTATTGGGTTAAGCTTCTTGTCTGGTGAACTCCCTTGCATATTCAGTATCAAAACTAAAAAGATATTCTGAAAGCAAGTAAAGACAAAATCAGTTTTCTGATTAAGAATATTAGAAGCAGAAGAAAAAGAAGAACAACTAGGAAAACTTTCCTTAACTTGGACCCTTGCAACAACAATATACTCCCACTTTGTCTTTTTTTTGTTTTTTTTTTTCTTGAAAAGTGGAAATTTGGCTTACTCCTATCAAAAAATCAACATTGTGCATCATTTCCTTTTGTGGTTACATGCTTGTTTGAATATAATGAATAAGGAACACAACAAACATGTGAGTTAGCCAATCATGTGAAGCAGATTGAAAAAGAATTTAATTCAGAAAAACCAAAAATATATTGAAATATGCATATATTCCGAGGCCATGTGCATAATATTTTTTAAAAAAAGGGTTACAGAGGTTTATAAAGAATTGGACCACTTAAATGCACTTCAAACCTTGGCACAGTACCCCACCTACTTGAAGATTTCTCCTATATGGAAAGTGTCTGGCTCAAACTCTGTCCTACAAGTGAATACAGTTTTCATTCTGGTTAAGAGTACCTAGTTTTTAGAGAATACTATAGTTTATAAAAATATAAAAACATTGTAATAAGCAGCAATCATAAAATAGAGTTTTATCTTGTTAGCAGGTTTCTTTCTTTATTCTCCTTATAGATTAGTTTCATTTTTTTTTTGTTTAGTTTTATTTTATTCTCCATTTTTGTTCCTCCTTTTTCTAATTTTAAAATCATTTTTTTTTTGTTTTTCTCTTTTCTATAAGAAAATGTCTCCAGATTGATGATATCCTATTGTGAAGCAAAGGTCAGATGAGTCGTAATTTCTAGTCCTAACTATATTAGTGCAGCAGGTCACATTTAGATACTGTTTAGGTAGCCAGATGATAGTAAACTTATAAATTAAATAATATTCTGTATTTACATATGTAGCTACAAATGATTTAATAAAGTACTACTGTGACTGCTTAAAGGAAAAAAAAATAAAAAAATAAAAAAAATAAAACAAAATAACAAAAACATTTTATTTAAATATTAAATTTTTGTATTTCAATTCACTCAAATATAGCTAAAAAAAGAAAGATTATTAGAAAATATTAGAAAAAATAAAAAAGTATTAAAATTCTTCTTTAGTATCTTAATTTTCATCAGATAAATCTAAATTAAATATAAAAAATATTTGTAAATAATTTTAAAATATAATGAAAAATTGCAAAGTTATTTGAAAAAAAGCAAAAATATGTAAATATAATTAAAAATTTTAAGTAATATAAAAATATTTTTAAAATATTGCAAATTATAATGATAAAATAATTGAAATTTAATAATCATACTTTCTCTTAGCCTTTTACTTGTCTAATAATTTTTGTTAATTGTAATTAATATTAACAATTAAAAAAAGTAATTTAAAATAATACAAACAATTTCAGATTCTTGTGAAACTTTTTTTTGTTTATTGCAGCTCATTGAAATATTCTAATATTATTTAGAAAGATAAATAAAAAAATATTTAATAAATTTATAATTGATAAAAAATATTTTTCAGAATATTTAAAAACTAATATAATAACACCAAGTATTAAATATTTAGATATAAAATTAATA